AATTTTATGGCTCAGACACAAATCATTCATTGGCTTGGGATTGCCTTCTCGAAGCTTTGGCGAATGGTGTCCGCACTCACCATGTACCACGCCAATATCGCTCGCTTGATCATTGCCAAGCGCTTCATCGCCGCGCTTAGTGTGTCGAACTCGTCGCCATAATCGCCTTCGATGATATCCTCGGCAAGCCAGGCATCTCGAAGGTAACGCTTGAACGGCCCCATGACGCCAACATCTAACGGCTGACAGACAGACGTTGAGTTGGCCGGCAGGGCAACCAAATGGGTACTGAGTTCCTCATTGACGATCTTGTACGACTTATCACTGACGTGGCTGACAAAGTTGTCGAGCAGGAGAACCGACGGCTCGACAAGCATAGGCAACAGCAGCGAACGCAGGTACGTCTTCCAGACATCGTCGTCCATCCAAGCCTTGTTTTGCATAGCGTACACGTGCCCCGCCGGGAAAGTTGGGAACTCGTTCGTTTCAATGCGGCGCCCGAGGCTCCACGGATGACGAAGAGCATGGGGAGCTTGGTGCCGTCTGCCCGCGCCGTGAGAACGACTGTCATTCGCATGGAGTGCTTCTCTCCAGACGAAATCTTCGCGCCACCACCACGTACGTCCCGATGTATCGCGGCGGCATGTCGTAGTAGAAGCCCGTCTCATCGACATTGTAGACGGTATCGTGGCCGTATTGTCGGTACGAGCGGTGGAACTCTTCGGCGAACTCGTCTCGGACCTCGATGAGGGCCGCCTGGGACTGCTTGCCGCAACCGGCTTTGCGACGAGAGAAGCCGTGACGGTGACAGAAGCGTTGGAGCAGACGCAGTATGCCTTGGTAGCTGGTGCCAAGTGCTTTCCCGGCAAGATACGTGCGTAGCCAGTCAGTTTGAAAGCGCTTAATCCAAGTGATCATGTGCGCGGATGTTAGCGCTCGCTCGCGCACTCTCATTTCCTTTATGAATTCCAGCAGGCCAACCAGGTCGGGGAAGCTTTCGGGGCGACCGCCTGGGCTCAACTTCATTCGCTTTTTGTTGCCGTCGAAGGCGAGTATGTCGTCCTTTTGGTCGATCCACGACCGAATGGTGCGACGTGGGATGCCAAGGAGTTTAGAGACGTTGTGTACGTTGGAGGTCTATACGAGCTCGAGCACTTGTAGCCGACAGCCACCTCGTACCCGCGCTTTCTGCGAAGGCGGAGCGTTGACAGGGTGGTCATTGATTTGCAAGTGAATGTGAGGTGGATTATTTTAAATAATTGCGCGCGGGCGGGAGAATATTATCATCAGCCAATTAATTGACTGTATTCTGGGTAATGATTGTTATTGGATAAAAAGAAAGTTGAAGTCCAAGAATCTTCGACTGGCGAACCATTCTGACGGCCACTGTACTTTTGTTCAAGTTTCAGTCCGTTCATGCCTATCCGGATATAATTTATTCGGATGCACAAGCATTTTGTGGACGTTGTTGCAACTGCTTGCGCCGTATCCGCACTGCTCTTCCTCGTCGCCCACGTGACAAGTTCAATATACTGACAGTTACTAAAGTCGACTTTGACTCAATGATCGGGCACTCCCAGTACGAACAGTGGTTCAAAACCAATTTGCGCTGCAGCCAATCGACTTTCATACGGCTCGTCGAGTGGTTACGTGAGGAGCAACCTGCACGTTATCAATGCCTGTCACAACATTCATTCGAAAAAAAGTGGCCGTGTTGCTGTACTTCCTCGGCTCTGACGGTGGATACCGTGAAACGGCGACAGCATTAATGTCCAAATCACGGTGTGTTGAGGGTTGGTGAACACTCTGACTACGAACGCGACGACGTGGATCAGTTTGCCAGGCAGCACCCATGATTGGGATGGTATTGAGCAGGCGTTTTTGTACAACAAAAAATCCCTGGTGTTGTTGGTGCTGTGGACGGAACACTGGTCGAATTCCAACGCCCGAAGGACCATGATGGGTTCTACAACCGCAACGGCGACCCCTCCCTCAACATCCAAGCTGTGGTTGATGCTGACACGCGGTTCATGTCCATTGACATTCGGCCGGGGTCTTACTCGAATAAAAAGATCTGGAAAACATCGACGTTTGGCCAATCCATACGTTTGAAAATACCGCGGGGCTGCTACCTCCTTGGTGACGCTGGTTACACCTTGTTGCCATGGCTCATTACGCCATTTATGGCTCACGAAGAGCATGGTAAATTGTCAAAAATGCAAAAGAATTTAAATTACAAACATTCGAGCACTCGAATGTCCGTGGAGTGTGCATTCGGGAGGCTGAAGGAACGGTTTTGAATTTTGAAGACGGTTATGAACGAAAAATCGCTCGACCAAAGGACAACCGTTGTGACCGCTTGCTTTGTCCTCCACAGCATGTTTTTACAATTCAACGACGGCTTGTTTTCCATCCCAAATCGACGACGGGACCGCAACGACCAAGTACAACCGTTCGACGACTGGGAGTCGGACACAAATCCATTTCTCCGCAAGACGGCTTTGGCAAAACGCGCTGCCATTGCACATATTTTATATCAATAGTTGAACAATATAAAAATGATTTTGAGTAATATATACTTTAATCATTTTTTTAGCTACTAACATTGTAAATGAGCTAAGAGCTGCGCCATGGTGTCTGATTGCGTCTTGATTGCAGAAAGAACATCGTCCAAAGTAGCACTATGTGTTGCTTGGGGTTGGATTCCTTGAGGTTGAACTCCAGCTAGTGACGACCCCAAAAACATCAACCCCTCCTTGATGGAATTGAATCCAGCTTCCAATGACGCAGCTGCATCCTTGGGCTTTTTCCCTTCGCTGTTTGACTTTTGCTTCTTTGTGGACGGCTCTTCCTTCTTTATTTCAACTTCATCGTCCTCGTCTATAGTATTGTTATGACGTCTCGTTAAGATCTGAGTATTCATAATTACATACTTCCTCTGTTCCATAATGAAGTTGACTTCATTTTTAATAATCTATTTCTCAGTCGTTTCGAAGCCTAATTGGTCGCATGGAAGCCCAAATCATAGGCATTAACGTACTGAAAAAGGTTCTATTTTCGTTTTTTTATTGGCTGTGAGGCTCCCGATAACATGCACAACAAATCCACGACGACGTCGACGAAACTTCAAAACTACGTCATTTGCTCCATTCTTGTCCGATCGACTTCAAATTTCGCGCAATCGCTTGCTCGTGGTGAGTAGATATACCTAGCGCTATTCAGATTTCAAAACTGAGTTATCGGCTGCTCTAGATGCCACAAGACACGACCACCAAACGACTGACGGACGCGCAGCGGACGGCAATCTTCATTCGAATGTCAGTGATGAGATCCAACGGTCGAGCGAAGCCAGGAGCGCTCCAAGCACTACGCGAGGAGTTTGGTGTGACCCGCCAAGCAATGTCCAAGATTTGGAAGCGTGGGACCGACACCACAGCCAGCCACGGGTATCCCGTCCTTGACTCAACGATCAAGAAGAAGAGTGGCAGGCCTGTAACCCTTGATCGTGCGTCGCTGGAAGATCGCGTGAAGGCTCAGACTGCATTCAGTCGCTCAACGTCTCGCGCTCTTGCCGCTGCCACTGGGGTCTCAAAGACAACGCTATGGCGTCTTGTGAAGTCGAAGGCCATGAAGCGCTGCACCAGCCGTTTGAAGCCTATGCTAACGCAAAAGCACAAGCACGACCGATTGGCCTACTGTAAGGCGTTTTTGCGCCGCCATCCAAATGGTACCCTGTATTGGCACGACATGTTGGACTACGTCCATATAGACGAGAAGTGGTTCTATATGACCAAAGTAAATCGACGGTACTACCTATGGTCGGATGAAGATGTCCCTGCGCGAAAGTGTCAGTCGAAGAATCACATCATCAAGGTGATGTTCCTGACGGCTGTGGCAAGCCCGCGGTATGACAGCACGAAGCGAACTCATTGGGACGGCAAGATCGGTTCATGGGCCTTCACGTCAACGCGTCAAGCTCTTCGCAACAGCAAGAACCGCAAGCGTGGCGATGATGTTGTTGAACCAACGACGGTCACCAGGGAGGTGTACCGAGACTACCTTGTCAACAAGGTTATCCCAGCGATTCGATCGCTATGGCCGCGGCAACGATCGAGTGTGATCTGGATCCAACAAAATAATGCAAGGCCCCATGTCAGCGTTGATGATGCTGCTGTTCGGATTGCAGGCTCTATGGACGGATGGAACATCAAATTGTGTGGTCAACCAGCTCAAAGTCCGGATATGAACGTTCTGGACCTCGGATTTTTCATTGCCATTCAGTGTCTGCAACATCAAACCCTCACGCATCAATTGAAGAGTTGGTGTTGGCGGTACATTCTGCTTTCTCTGATCTGGATATGCGCGTCTTGGACAAAACGTTCATGACGTTGCAGAAGGTGATGTAGTATGTATGTAAAATAGACGGCGACAATGTTTACAAGTTGCAGCACATGAAGAAGGACACGTTATTTGTGAACGGCTCACTCCCTCCCCGCCTGGAATGCGACAGGGATGTTGCTGCATCCATTGAAGCCATGGAGGAGCGCATTGACTACGAGCGGCGCGTCGACAACAAGATTGAACTCTTTGAGTCTGATTGCACTATTCAAGGGCATGTCCACATGAGCAATGTTAACGCAATTTGTGAAATGGCCCAAGAACTTGCGATTGAAGAAGTCGACGAAGAAAATCTGCAGCATGTCCTGTAGTCGTAAAAGTGCAAATATGAATAAAAATTCATATTTCAGGAGTATTATTATAAATTAAGCATACAAATTCTCATATACATATTATTCCCCTTCGGTTGTCAACTTCTTTATGGAACAGAGGAAGTATATTATACTTATACCATTCAAGTCGACAACGCTATCGTCCAAAGTTGCATCATCTGTGCTCATGAGGGATTCCCTTTTGTACCCAAATTTTGGAACTCCAGTACTCCAGCATAATGTCATAGTGCATTGGGAGAGCGAGCAGCTTTGGACAAATTCCCCGTGGGACTAGCCAAACTTGGCTTGGACACGGACCGTCCCGTTTTCAATCTTGCGAACTGCTCGAATACACGTATATGATATTTGATACAATATAATTCAATCATACCTTATCTTGCACCTGCTTTGCGGTGAATTCACGCTGCATTTCGACGCTTAACTCAGCCGCCAGCATCACATACGCCACGCGCTTGCCGTAGTTAATCGGGACGCTAGGTGCGAATTGTATCGCAGAGCGAACAACATGGAGACGCTTTGGTCGCACCAGAGAAACGCCCGCGGCGCTAGCTTCTTCATCCGTTTTGGCGGCTTATCGGGGTTCTCGTTGGACACTAATGTTGGTGCCGCACGTGTTGTTGATGTGTGAATGGAAACATGTATGATGAATGAGTATGTGTGCTCCTACCTTCGGCGTCGGCACCGTCAACGTCGAGTTGGGTCGTGCTTTCTGACATGGGGTGTTCCAAATTGCAAGTGCTACTGACTGATGGTGTGAAACATGAACGCGCGTGAACGATTCGTCTCCGCTTGACAATCCAATTAAAGCATGAACAATATCCGGTTGCCGGATAATTCTATCCAATCAAAACGAATTCATCCTTGTTTCCGATGCAGAGACATGGACAAAAACGTTCCCCGACCAGGGCCTTATCTAACGCTAGCGAAGTAAACAAACATGGATGTCCATTAGTTTCATAAATACAAGCACAGTATACCCTACAGTACTCTAGTGGATTTAAGCCTTCGCTTGTCCACACGTAAGACGTACAGTACATAACGCACGATTGATGCCAGTTAGATTTGCTGGACGAGTTTCAATGTCGCCGGCATAACGCTTCCAGGCGTTCATGCTCCAAGTACTAAATTTACTTCCTCTGGTCCACAATGAAGTATACCGTTATAAAAGTGCAAATTTTATACTGAATTTTGTATTGGAATTAATTTTTTTGAAAAGTTGTATGTTTATTCAAAATTGCAGTTTTACGACCGAAGACCCCATGATATGATGCATTCATTACTCATCACCATCTAAATCAACCCCAACTAATCGGGAGCAAATGGAATCGACATTGGACAAGTCCACCTCACCTTGAACTTGACAACCATTGTCGAGTAGGTCACTCAGAACGTCAACACGACGTTCAAACTCACTTCTTTCCTCCATGGCATCAACCGCTGCACAAACATCTTCATCACACTCCAGTCGCGTTGGTAAGAGACCCTCCTTGATGAGCCCATGCTTCTTTTGATGCGGCAACTTGAAATCGTTGTGACCGCCCATCTTGAAAATGCACTCCATGACTTTTGCAGCGTCATGAACGTCTTGTCCAAAACGGTGCACTCAAGTTCCTCGAACGACTTGACGACAGCCACGACAACGTCGTCCAACGTGTAGGTGGCCATTTAGTGTTGGAGGCTCTGGATAGCGTTGAAGTAACCCAGGTCTAACACGTTCAGGTCTGGACTTTGCGCTGGTTGTGAGCACAGGCTGATGGTCCACCCACCTTGGCGTCCAGCAGCAATGACAGCAGGGTCGTTCACGCTAACATGGGGTTTCGCGTTGTCTTGTTGAATCCATATCTGGTTCTTCATGCTTGACGGCCACTTGGAACGCACAGCCGGAATGACTTTGTCGATCAAGAAGGACGGGTAAACGTCCCGTGTCACTGTGAATGGTTCAGTAACATCATCGCCACGCTTGCGGTTCTTGCTGCTTCGCAGCGCCGGCCTTGTCTTCACGAAAGGCCTCATTCCAATACGACCATCCCACATCCGCTTGTTTCGCGCGTCGTATCTTGGCCGCGCAACAGCAGTGAGAAACATAACCTTCATGATATCCATCTTGGATCGGCACTTCCGCGTTGGCACAGCTTTGTCACTCCACAGGTAGTATCGACGGTTCTGTTTCGTCACATAGAACCATTTCTCGTCGATGTGCACTGTGTCCAGCATGTCGTGCCAGTATCGCTTGCCCGATGCTTCTGTTCGTAGGTGGCGTTGGACGAACGCCATGCGGTCGGACTTGTGCTTGTCCGTTTGCATGGGCTTGAGGCGGCTCGTACATCGCTTCATGACCTTGGACTGCAGCAGCCGCCACAACGTCGTCCTTGCAATTCCGGTGGACTCAGCAAGGCATCGGAGCGTCGAGCGCTTGAAACTAGGAGCCGCCTTCACCTTTGCTTCCAAGACAATCAATGGGGTCTTACGTCGTCGGCCACTTCTTGCCTTGATGCCTGAACGAACGTCGACGGTGCCTTGGTCATCGAGAGTCTCGCTTGCTCGCTTCCAGAGCTTAGCCAAGGCTCCCTTTGTAACCTTGAACTCATTGCAGAGACTCTTGAGCTCTCCGTGCTTGATCCTGTCGCCCGCTTTCAGCAGTGAGGGTCGAATGTATTGCTCAGTGCGCTGTGCATCGGTAAGGCGTTTGGTTGTCGTGGGCGGAGTCATGGTGAAACGTGCGTAGCGAATTGCGCTAAGCATATCTACGGACCAAGCGCAAGCGATTCCACGTGGTTTGAGATCGATTGGAGCAGAATTGACGAAGTTACGGCTTTTTTTAGATTTTTGTCATGAATTTTGGATGTTTGACTTGTCCTTTCTTGTGTTTGGTGGCCAATAAAAAAGTTCTAAAAATACCCGTGTGTTTGTTGTTCATTCCTCTATTTGTTTATACCGTTTTGACCGATTTTAGTGAATTTTTGATAGACTTGTGCAATTTTTTCGAAAAGGTGTACTTCATTCCGGACCAGAGGAAGTACATGTTTATTGTTGTTGCGTCACCTATTCAAGATGTTGGTGACACTGTTGCAGCCTCCACACAGTACAGTATTGACCCTTGACAATGCAATAATATAAAACTAATGTTTTATTTGGACTAATTCCCCGACAGCAGGGGGTGCCTACCTTCAAAACTCCCCAGACCTACCTTCTTTGGGGGAATTTTGGAATAACGAATATTCATCCGGATAATCGAATTTATTGCACAGATAAGAACAGTGGTACGCATCGTCAGGACCATTAAATCTATCCGCATGCTCATAATTTTAACCGTTGTAGTGACTGACGATTGACATCATTTGCAAACACACCACTACAGTATGAGTGGCTTCGTTTCTGACGAGTACTTGCTTCTAGCCGTAGAGATGAACTTCACAAGGCCTCCTGAGAGCGAACACGACTACGTCTCAAAAAGTGTTTTGAATTCTGTGAAAGGTCACGACTTCGGGAGCCTAGTGTATTTGAAGGAGTGCATGAACACTTTCAGTTTGAAGCAAGGCTTTCGCCTTCGCCAGAAGTATCGAATTGCGAGAACAGCAAAGTGGATTTGTTCTACGGAGAGTTGCGAGTTCTTTGTTCGATCTTCTGTGAGATGTGATAAGGTTGCGTCTATCACATCGATGAATTTGATGCACAATCACCCACTTTTTCAAAGTACGGGGGTGAAATGTCACCCTGCTGTTTCAAAAGGGTTGGTATGTTGTATTATTTGTAGTAGTACTACACAATGAAACGCATAAAACTATTAGATTGTGGAAACACTTCAAACACATGGGAACATTATGGAACTCGTTTCCGATCCACGACGACTCACCGGCAAGCAAATCATTGTCCACTTTCAGCGAGCAAGCGGCGAAACGAAATCGACATCATCGGCAAGTCGTGCCAAGCGAGAACTCGTGAAACATCTGTACGGCTCAGTGGGCATGGCGTTTGAGAAAGTCGGGAGCTACTTTGAGCTCCTGAAGGCGCGCAATCCAAGGACGTTTGCGCTTGTTGAAACAAGATTGGGATCATTCTACCGCAGCGCGCTCATCCCGAAGTTCTGTATTAATGCTTTTGAGTACTGTCAGAATGTTATCGCGCTTGACGTTAAAGCTGTGTAACTATATTTACAAACATTCATGTATTGCCGTTTCATTTAGGAGCCCATTTAAAGGATCTTATGAATTCAAATATACGATGAGATGATTGTTGGGATCTTTGGTTGTTGCATGTAGCATAATGGAGTTATGCTACTTGCAACAACCAAAGATCCCAACAATCATCTCATCGTATTGGATACGTTGCGATTAAACTACAACATATACTTATATCAATTAGGGATTGCTGTCGTACCAGTCGAGAACGACAAGCATTGGGCTTGGTTTTTGCGATGGTTGAAAGACGCTGGACTTCCGCTGTCAAGCACTGTCCTTGTGTCCGATCGTTTAAAAGGTATTTGAGAGTTGAAAGTTTCATACATTTCACATTATTCATAACTTGCATCATTTGTTTTAAATTTATAACTTTCAGAATTTGAAAATACATTGGTTGTGTAGGTCTCACCAACGCCTGCAAAGCGGAATGTCCTGGCGTTCCACACAGAACTGCTTGCGCCATATTGTTGCCAACGTCAACACGGCGCAAGGACGGCACCTGTCCTGTACGGAAGAAGGCTTGGCGTTCAAGTTAGCTCGATCCGACAGTCATGAAACGTTTGCACGGCACATGGAAAAACTACGAGCGCTAAACCCTGGTAAATACCACACAAATCTATTGATTAACTTATTGTAATGACTAATAGATGCTGCCGACTATTTGTTGACAATCCCTGTCGAACATTGGGTGACATACGCGTTTCCGCCGTCCACGTTTGGCAAAGTCACATCCAACATGAGCGAGTCAGCCAACCAGTGGTTGGGGACTGAGCTCCGCAGTTCGGATGCTGTAATGTTGCATTTCCATTACATGCTACATCTCCTAAAGAACATTAACGAGCGAAGGTATTCGTTCAATACTCTAGTGCATATCATAAATTACATATGTTTTTAGTATTTCTACAACTTATATAACTTGCATAAGGATTTCTAAAAGTTGTGCATGATCTTGACTGGTTCATATTTAATGCATGCCATAACGTAGAATCAAGAATGCGAAGTGGCCTGAGGGATCGATGACCCCGGTGCACCATAAGCTGTACCAAACGCTGTTAACAAAGTCGCGGGGTATTGTGGTACGATACACCATTCCTTTCATTCCTTAAACATATATAGATTGAAGAGTGCGAGCCATGTAAAACATTCTTGGCGTTGTACTTCGACTCTCAAGCTATAACGCCTCATCTCTGGCGATTGGTTGATCTCGAGGCAAAGACGTGTCAGTGCCGCACGTGGTTCGACACGAAGAAGCCCTGCATCCATGCCATTCGTTGCTACAATGCCATGAAGCTGGTTCCGATGTTGTACTTTGACCACGTGTACTCAGCGACTCGTTTTAAGCTGCTGTATGCGTCGCATGTTGTGCCAGTGCCACCACAAGACCTCGACAGCGATCCTCGCTCACAGGCTCCAAGTGTTTGTGGAACAGACTTTAACCCATCAAAACCCTGTCCGAAGACGAGAAAGCGTAAACGGTCAAACGGAATGCGTAGCTAGGAGCGCCTAATGTAGTAATTTTTTCGTCATTAAGCTCTTTGTTTACAGTAAATGCTGGATATTAACATAAACTACTTGAATGTTAACAAAATTCAAATGCTAAAGTAAAACTAGAATTTCTATAACTTTTAAAACATTTATGTAGTTGTGAAAACTGTAATACTCGAAATAGTTTTCAACTTCATAGAAAGTAAACGTATTACTCCAATCATAGCAATTGTTTTGCCATTCTGGCCAAGCGTCGGTCAACCATGGCATCATCGTTCAATGGTACTGGACGCTTTGGTGTGGGTGCTTCCAACTCGGCACCATGCGAAACTGATGAAACAGCGCGCTTTACAGGGGGTACTAACTCGCCGCCCTGTTCGTTGTCGTCGCCGTCCACGCCGTAATCGTCACCAGAAGGTTGCTCGCCATCGTCGAAGTCACCCGATTCGTCATCACGGTACCGCAAAAATGGCTGCAACAGCTCATTTGGATTGCCGCCCAGCTTGCGAGAAACGAAAAGCAATAGCCGAAGCGCTCCCACGCCAACTGCATTGTTCTTGGTCAGCTGAATTGCAATGTCGTGATCTGCTTGGTTGATCAGGCTTCGCGTTCCTGGTGGGTCAAACATGGGCTTGGCGTCGTTGCATTTTGTCGACGGCCCGGGCGTCTGCATTTCACCATTATCGTTTACTTCGCATCACCACATCTTACGTATGTTCCGATGTTCGGGAACGTGTTTGTGCTTTGCCTTTACGTGGCTTGTAAAGTGCGTGTACGAAGTGATGAAACCACACTCGTCCATCATGCACTTGATCTTGTTCGGCTTCTCGCACTCATAACAGAAATGGTTTATACCGTTGGTTGTGGCTAACGGACTTATCTGTGGAAGAAATTAGATTATCCGGACGAGTATCCGTTATTCCAAAATTCCCCCAAAGAAGGTAGGTCTGGGGAGTTTTGAAGGTAGGCACCCCCTGCTGTGGGGGAATTAGTCCAGATAGGGTAGACAAGTACAGTACCGGTATCATATGTGTTTCGTATACCTGCTAAGTACTGTACTGTAGTACTAGTACTCGGTACCGGTATGTTTGCATGTGTGCAAAGCTCGTTTGAGCAGTCAATAGCACAAGGAATTGAGCCAAACTTAAGTAACTACTTCGAAGTACTACAACCCGATATGTATGTATATATCTCCGTTTCTTATCGTCAGATGAATTTAGATATTAACTTTGTGGCGTAGGAAGTCGGCAGCACGGTCAAAAGGAAAACATCTACTACAGTTGTCCTCCAAGGCTTGCACCCATGCAATGACATAAACTATTGCAGGAAGTTGATGACATAAAGGTGACACAAAATATTGAAATTGAAGGGTTTTTTGGTGGATTACCAGTCGTTTACATCAAACTCATTAAGCAATCGCTCCAGCAAATGACCGGAGCTCATGTGAAGAGACTGGAGGTGCTCCATCAACGTCTCTCGGGGTACAATACCTGTATGATTCCAACAGTTCCGAATCGTCGTTGACGTGACGTTTTCCCAGGCGTCCAATGACCACTTCATGGCAGTCAGTACGTCAACAGCGTACAACCACCCATGGGAGCATTTGACTTGATCTTGTAGGTTCAGCTCGGTGGCGATTTGGAGCCCCTTCCTCGCGATTAGCTCGCCAGTCACGCATGCATTCTTTGCATTCGCCATGACTACCCACTCGGCAACTTGTTTGTCCAATTCAGGGTATTTTGGCCCCTGAACGTTGTACCGACCCTTTGCCAACTCCTCCTTTATGTTATAGGTCTCGATCTTGCGCTTGTCCCTCAGGATTCGTGATGTGGAGCGTGTGGCCAAAATGTTCCGCGACCCAATGCTACACGGCGGTTGTCTTAATGGGCACGTGAGACGCATAATATGCCCGAAACAAGTTCTTCTCGTGAATCGAGAGTCGCTTTTCTTAGCCTGTCAAAGCGAGGTGAATGCAGCCTCATGTTCAAAAATTTAAACCTCGTGTAAATTCAAATCAACCCTTCAAAAATTTGTATGGTATTGTTTTATACGGGAATTTCGTTTTGACCAGTTTTTGTTCAGTTAAGATTCAACTTGTGGAAGTGAACTGAAAACCAAGCAATTTCAAACTTTCGGGCAGATCTAAATCTCAACTTTGACGAAAATATCAGTACTTTCGGAAAGGTTTTGAGTTAACTTGTAGATTATCCGGATTACGTTCCTGGTCAAAAATGCCCCAACCGCGCATCCTTCGCAATAGAGAGCTGGTGTCCCTTATTGCCTGCGTAATGCCATGGTGATTTCGACATGTTTCTCACCGTAATTCAAGGCTTAATGGCATCCAAATTCATGAGAATGAGGCCCGAGAAGCCAATAGTCTCATACAACAACAATTTCGACCGTGACATGCACAACGCCACGGCAGCGCACAAGTTCCGGTTCACAATCGACCAACTCCGCGTAGGCATCCTGTGGCATGTGGCCACACTCCTGACTAACTGTCACATCTGTCTCAAAGCTGAGGGGAATCAAATCTCAATGTACTTCGATGTAGCACCTCCAGGATTGAATTTGAATGAATACTTGATCTAATCTGTGTGATGTAATCTAGTTAAGAAATATTCCTAATTAGAATTGCCTAGTTTAGAACCAATTTGACGGTTACAAGTGCAAGTTAATTTCAAAAGGAAATCCTTGCACTAACATGAAATTCAATACTATTACAATAAAAATATGACGTTCAAAGTGATTTCAACGTCAAAACAACATTGGGTGGAAAATATGCATATTCACTCGTCAAAACTCCTATATATGGCCTAATTGTTGGTCTACATCACTATTTTGAATTTGAATTAGGTTGAAATTATTCCTAATCGGACTCAAATATTTTTATTCCAATTTTTTAGCAATCGCTGCAACTAAATCTACCAAGACACGTTGTTGCGCAGCAAGCTACTCAACATGGCGATTAGCTTGTTCACGATCATATTGTAAACGCTGCGCCTCACGCCGCTCCTTGTCCTCAATGCCTTCACGAATGATGCCCATAAGGCTCGCTATTTCGAGGGTTGGAGCTGGTTTCTTCGACTTCTTGCGCCGCTTGATCGATGTGATCTCAGCGTCCTCGGTCTTCTCGGCAGACATTTCAAGCTCTGCCATGGCCAATTGGCGCATGATCAATCCCGAATTCTCGACGCATTCCAGTTTCCGCTTCGCAGCATCCTTGCGCACGGCTTCGTTCTCGGCAAAATCGTCCACGCGCAACTGATGTCTGTCAGGAGCTGGTCACGTTCAGAGTACTCCTCGGTTGTCCCCGACTTGCGCAAAGACGCACTCTCCCCCTTCTCGTGCTTTGCCAACAGGTATTCGAACCTGGTCTTCAGCGAGCCCGGCTTCTTCACCATTGAAAATCCAGGCATGCGGTTCAACTCTGCCGCAATCTCGGCCCAGATCGTCATCACCTTCCCGTATTCACCCTCCCACGGTCGCGACAGGGACACCTGTTTGAGCAGCGTGATGTCGTGGCAACATGCGAACTTTCCTGTGGGAAGCGGCGTGGTGTCGCTTTCGTCAATTGTTGTAGCCATCAACCAAAGAAGAGAATGAAGGACCTGTAATATCCGTAGATATATCTGTATCTTGCAACCTTGGACGTCCATCCACTTTTGAGATAAGGTGCCTTCTATCTGAAAAGTTGTTCAGATCCACTGCT